TTTGATAGAGTTTACCTATAATAATAGTCACCATTCCAACATTGGGATGGCACCCTATGAGACACTCTATGGTAAGAGATGTAGAACAATCTTATGTTGCGTAGAACCTAAAAAGAATTTCATGTTAGGAATTGAGGTAGTTCAACAAACTACTAAGAAGGTGGGATTAATCTAGGATAAAATGAAAGCAACCTAAAGTAGGCAGAAAAGCAACCATGATAAGAGAAGGAAAGACCTTAAGTTTAAAATGGGAGAACATGTATTCCTTAAGGTAACTCCTTGGACCAGAGTTGGTAGAGCACCTAAATCTCATAAGCTTACTCCACAATTCATTGGACCTTGCCAAATCCTTAAAAGGCTTGGTAGTGTTGTTTAAAAAATTTCTTTGCCTCTGTCCGTTTCTAATTTTCATGATGTCGTTCATGTTTCCCAACTTCGAAAATACATTCATGATTCATTCCATGTTGTTGAGTCTAACAACATTCAGTTGAAGGATAATCTCACCTATGAAACTATTCCTTTGAGGATTGAGGATAAGAAGGTGAAACAATAAAAAGGTAAGAAAATTCCATTGGTGAAGGTTGTTTGGAAGAAAATGTTACATGGGAATTAGAAAGTTATATGTGGGAAGCATATTCATTTTTTTACTTCAAGTAATTCTGGGGAAAAATTTTCTAAAAGGATGAGGGAGTTGTAACACCCCATTTTTCATAAGATATAATATAAGTATTTTATTAATAATTTTGATATTTTTATTTTATTGATAGGGACTATTAAATATTTGTTTAAATTATTAAATATATTTTAGAATATATTATATGATGTTTTATTAAAGAATAGTATAATATTTTATTAAAAAGGGAAAGAATTTTTGTGATAATTGTGGTTAGTATGTTTCAACTATAGGGTTAAAGGGGGTTAGGTATTTTATTAAAAAAGATGAGTTTTCTAGTCAAGCCCTCTTACATCTCTACTTTCACGTACATGGTTCAAAACTCAAAAGACATAAGCAAGAAGGGAATCACCTTGGATTCATGCACCCATCATCTGTAGCTTGTCCAGGTAAGGGGAGAGTGAGTAATCTCACTCTAGGGTATAGAATAATTGTTAGGTAGTTAGGTCGGCTCTCAACCTTTATATGTTATATGTGTTGTATGAAGAGGGAAACCCTATTATTTTCTCTTGGTGATTTGTTGTCCATTCCATGACTCTTCAACTCCCTTATTGACATTAGTTATAATTTTTTATTGTTAATTTGGTGTGATGAGCTCTTTTGATATGATTTGAGTTGCCTGTAGGAACCCTAAGTGAATGCATTTGAGAAATTATATGAGGAGATGTTATGAGTATGCAATTATAAAATTGAAATTAAATTTGAGTAATTGATGGTATAATAGAGTAATATTAAGCTTTAATCTATGTTTTTACCGATTGGATTGGGAAGAGAGAGTTTGGAAGTGAATTGTGCCAAGTTTTGAAAATTTTAGTAAAAACATACCTTGGTATTTATGTAATTTCTTTGTGTGTGATTAATGAAATTGAATTCCAGTTATTGGGTTAGAAATTAAACATTTGGGGGTACAGTCTAGACTCAAGAATCACATAAACATATTAAGGAATGACCAAATTATGTGAGTTAAAATATGAACCTCATTTTCGATCCGCAAAATGTAACGTGCGTGTATTGTAAGCCTTTCGAGTAGACTTAAATGGTAGAAATAGGTTTTGTGATCTTCATGAAAGTTGTAGTATTAGATGTTAGCTTTCAAATGCCATTAGAATAACCTAAAAAGGAAGTCTAGAACTCAAGTTATGATCAAATTAGTGAGCAAAGGTCAGACTATTAGATTTAGGCTAAAACATTATAATTTTGTATTTATTTAAAATAGTAGATGGCATATTTAGTTCTTGAGGTCAACATAGAAGTTAGATATAATTGTCTTATCTTTCTAATAAAATTAAGATTAACTTAATAGCATATATATAGCTCTAGCTAAGGTGTTTGAACCATGTGATATCATAGAAGATTAAGTTGTGGAAATGTAGTATGTGAGTATGTTATTGATGTGCTTGTGAGCTATGCATGAGTTGTAGTGATGTGATTGCTTATGCCATTGATTGCTAATATTTAATTGATATAGTTGAATTGTTAATTGCTATATTGAGAATGATTAATGATTTTGTGATATGGGAGTAGTTGACAATGAATTAATGAGATCATGTGAAATGTTATGCATAGAGTTTATTTGATATGCATCATGTGTACGGATGGAAAAAATACCCGCACTCACATGTATCTATGGGTAAAATCCGCTATGGATAATAAATGGATAGGCTAACTGGGTACCCACGGATAATGGGGACGGATAATTTTTTACCCGTTTATAAACGGGGTGGGGGCGGGTATGAAGATATTCATACCTGCGGGTACCCGTTTAATAATATTTCTTAAATATCATAATTATCCTTGTACCACATAGCCCTAAAACTACACTTTCTCATCTTATTTTCTTACAAAAGTGAGGTTGATGAAGTTACCAACATGTGTTAAGCATGTTATAGAATTATGTTGGATGTAATTTGATTAATTTTCTAGCTTTGATTGGACCAATAAAACTTATGTATTTTAAGTTGTTTACTTTCGTTTGGAATTATGAGATTGAATTATTGTAGCTTTGTGATGAGACTTTAACTTACTTGTAAGATTGATGTATTTTAAGTTATTGATTATCTTGCATTTTTATTATTATTTCAACAAAATTAACGTTAAATACAAGTTCAAAATTAACTTTGAATTTTTATTTTTAATATTTCAATGACATTAAATATAAACTTAAAATTATTTGTAATGTAATTTTTTATAATTTCTTAAAAAATTTATAAATATCCATGAATATCCATGGATATCCGTGAGTATTCAAGAAATTCATGGATACCCACTTAATGGATACCCGCGCGGATATGGGGTGGGTATAGGGCCAATTTTCATCCAGTGGGGCGGGGGCGGGTTTACTATTACCCTCCCCCATGGAGCCTCATTGCCATCCCTAATCATGTGCATAAAATAGTTTTTTTGAAGGGTACAATATGGAATATACCGTCAGATAATGTCCCTTGTGTAAAAGCTTGGGAACCAACCTTGGGGATAGCTCGGTTTGGAAGTCTCTGTCCTACCCTCGTGAGCATGGGATGCATCTTGTGTGGTTTAACTATCCTGACCAAAGTCTGGTAGTATGTCCTTCTAGAGAGTGTATAGAAGGTGTGACCTGGCATGTACTCCTAGACTACTCTAGAGTGTTGCTAAGCGACAATGCATAAGTGTGATATGTGATATTTTATTGATGTCACATGCACGATAACATGTAGTCTGTGTCCATTGCATATGCATTATAATATTATCTTTTGTTGCTTACTATGCTATAAATGAGTTAAATATGATGATGTGTAACTGTGTATGCTATATCATGTATGTGTTATTAGTGTTTGATTAATCGGTTTGCATTCTTGCACCGTGAGTCAAAGTGAGATGTTATTCACTCCCTATTATTTTATGTTGTCTTCTTTTTGGTTTTTGCAAGTAATGATTAACATGGTGCTAAGGATATCAATCATGAGACTTAGTGCTCAATGTTAGGTTTTTCTCTGATAGGACACGTGAAATCAAAGAATTAGTTGGGATTTGATTTTTCCTATTTACTTTGAGTAGTTTAAATTTTATTTTTGTTGTTGTTATTTTTTATAAGTATAATTTATGATAAAATGTGATTATCACTAATTGTGTGAACTTTGAGTTTATTTATTATATTGAGGTTATTCAGTTTTATATTGTATTATGTGTTATTGAATGCAGGGTAGAAGGTGTCACACTTTGTATGTTACGACTTTAATAATTTATTTATTTTTGATTGTTTGATGTTTATATTTTTATATTATATTTTTTCTATGTATTTCTCTCTCATGTATTCTTGGCATGAAAAATGGAAGAAATTTTTTTAAAAAAGATTTATTGGACTCATGGGCTTTACAAGGCTATTTGTTACATGGGTCGGGCTTATCTATCCCATTAAAAATGCGGGTTTTATAGGCCAGACCTTAAACGAGTTAGACTAGCCCATATATTCACCCCTAATGACATGAATGTTATGTATGATAGTATAAGCATGACGAGAAATAGAAACAACTTGCATGTTTAACAAACATCGATGAGACAACTTAATTTAAAATCTCTCAAATAATATTAAGTTTAATGCCTTCTCGAAACTTGACTACTATTAGTCAAGGCCTCAATTGTTAAGTGTAGGTCATGTCAAAGATGGACATCTTATCAAACTTGATGAGGTGCGAAAGGTGAATTATCCTACTACCAACCATTGAGTTTTGACTTAACTAAGTACTTCAATAAGATAGATGAACTCAAAGACAAGAGTTGCACATCAATTTATATGATAAATTGGAATAAGGGGTTATTATTATAAATATGTTTTAATCAATACATTTAAAATATGCAATTTTATTATTTTAGATAACCATGTGCAAGCATAGACACTATGATCATGACTCGACCCTACTTGCTAACCTAACTCAACCCCAACTAGATTTGTACAAACTTGAACTTTAAAATCAAACACGATTCATTTTTAGAACAACTTTGGATTACAATTCAGGTCGTCCAACCCTATTTGACATATAATGTTCTCTTACAAAACATAAATATTTTTGAATTATTATGCATTAATTTAAAAATTTAGTAATACATTTTATAACATGATATTATTTTTATAATATAATTATTTATTTTAAATATATTTTATAAATTATACTTTAATTTGAGTTTTGTACTTGTTTTATTTTAAAATTTAACTATACATAATATTAAAATTAATTTAATATAACAAAGTCAAGTCAACCCAATCTTATCCATATATTTTTAGGTCTTGATCGAGTCAGATTCGGACTTTGAAAAATGGTTGGAACAAAAATTTGGGTTGAGTTTGGACAAGGATAAGTTTGACCCAAGCTCACCCCTATTGCAAATTGTCTTTTAGAAGGACATATAATCAAATAAATGATTTTATTTATTAGAAATAAAACATGAGAATTGTTCTCAAGCAAGAAATAAAGCTATAAGTTCTTAGTGACTTGATTATTGAAGCGACCCGCGACTTATGATTCTAAAGTTGTCAGGGATGCTAATTAAAAGCGCATGGAAGATGTTATATATGTTGGATGTTTCTATCAGGGTCTGATTGTAAAAGAGATGAGGTTGGCTTCTCAGTGTTCATTCTTGAGGTGAAGGTTGAAACATCACTAGTCAGAAATGAAGATGAAGAAGAGGGACCAGGGGGTGAAACTCCAACTACGGAGAATGCACTAGCATTGCTACTCGAGTATGAGCTGGTTCCACTAACAGCTCCTTCCATCATTGATTTTGGGGCAGGTGGCTTTTCAATCTCTATTACCCCTTCTAGCATTTGCAACACTTTACTCATTATTGGTCTCTGAGACGGTTGCTCTTGGATGCACCAAAAGCTTGCTTGAATTGCTCTTCTTACTTGTTCCATATTAACTTCTTGGTCAACTAGTCTTTTGTCCAAAATTCCACTAATGTTACCTCTCTCATACTCTTCATAAGCCCAAATAGAAAACTTCTTTCTATTTGTTTCCTCTGATAATTCAAAACTCCTCCTCCCACTCACAATCTCTAACAGGACCATGCCATAGCTATAAACATCAGATTTGGATGTTAGGGGAAGATTCACAAGCCACTCAGGGGCTAAATAACCTCGGGTTCCTCTCACATTTGTCAAGGTCCGATGTTTAAGGTCCTTGGGACTAATGAGCTTTGCAAGACCCAAATCAGAGACTTTGACAACATAGTTCTCATCCAATAGAATGTTTTCAGGTTTTATGTCACAATGGACTATACAGTCACGACACTCCTCGTGCAAGTATGTGATGCCTCTTGCAGTGCCCAATGCAATGTTGTATCGATACCCCCAATTCAACATTTTTTCTGAATGTTGTTCTCTTTGGGATAAAAAATCACCAAGAGACCCATTTTTCATGAACTCATAAACTAGAAGCCGGTGGCGCCCTTCAGAGCAAAAGCCAATGAGTCTCATCAAATTGAGATGATGAGTACTACTTATAGTGGCAACTTCCATCTTAAACTGCTTCTCACCTTGCTTAATGCCCTCAAGTTGCTTCACAGCAACAACAGTTTTGTTAACGAGAGTTCCTCTATACACAGAACCAAATCCACTAGCTCCAAGCTTTTCCTCAAACCCCTTTGTTGCCTTGTGGAGCTCCTTGTAAGAAAACTGGATTGGCGCACCAGAAGCATACTCAAGGTGTGCATAGTGAGCAGGCAAACCACCAAACCTTGTCTTGTTCCTACAACACCACATCCACAAACCACCTTCCAAGGCAACCAAACCCAAAAGAGTACTGAAAACAACCACCACCACAACCCAAGCAGGCACGTTGGACCTCTTTTCCCTCACACGTAGCGGATTTGGTGCCGGCGACTGACAAACCTTGACATAAGAAGTGCTAGGCAGTAAATAACTCTGATATGCACTAACAAAATCTTCTGATTTAATCACACAGTGCCCCGAGCCTTCCGACAAGAAAGTAGAAGCAAAACAGGCTCCAGCATTTGAAAGACAAGTTGTCCTACATAAATCTTGGGAAAGCGTCCGCGACGCAGGGTCAAGGAAGTAAGTCAAGATCATGGTGTGCTCCAAGGTCAATAGACTCCCTTGACAATTGTTGAGACTCACCTTCCTCCTGCACCCTTTTCTAGCATCATTTGGATCAACCATTTCGAAATTCTCTGAAGGGCACCCGCAACTCGGGCTCGAACCATTGTAACTACACACACCATAGTTCCCACAGTAAGCATAAATCTTACACTGATCAAGCACAGCAGTCCATCTAATACTACCCTTATTGGTACCATAAATCCTCAAATTGCCATCATTATCCAACTTCAACACCCTCAACACATCAATATTCTCCTCAGCATAGTCACTACTATAAGCAATAACAACAGGAGTGTTCAATTTGGTATCGGAAATTTGCAAAAGGCCAATCGATGACAACGCCAACACAGGTGAATCCAAACTCACATTCAGAGAAGAGTTCAAATCCTGGGTCCAGTACACTATGCTATTGTTCCACCTGAGGATCAAATTCCCATTTGCAAGAAGACTAAAAGAGTAACTTTGGGATGTGAGAGACTTACCAACAGTGAAATTCTGAGAAGGCAAAAGGGTATCGGTGGGATGGTCAAAGCTTGACCAGAGGGTACCCGTGCCCTTCCAAATTACCAAATTGCCACTCTCTTCAAGGGTTGCTGAGGTGGCGCCGCGGCCCGCCGTGCCAGAGTCCCACACGGTGGCGCCGGAGCCGTTGACGAGGCGGAGGGCGCCGTTGCGGAGGAACTGGAGGGAGCCGCCGGAGTCCACGGCAGCGCCGTTGCCAGCAGACCAGACGACGGGGGCGCCGCCGGAGAAGACGATTGCGGCGGTGAAGGAAGGAGGGGTGGTCGGTGGCTGAACGGGGACGAAAGCAAGAGAGAAGGTGGCGTTGGGAGAAGACCACATGTGGTTGGTGAAGAGAGTGTTACCTGGGGTTATGCCGGTAGTAACCGTTGTGGTTGCTAAAACAAGAGCCAGGAGCAGAAAATGGGTTTTGAGGAACATGTTTTCTGATGATTCGGTTGTGTGCAAGGGTGTGAATTTAATAATGTAGCCAATGCGTTGGATGGGTTTTTATTAATGGTGTTTTGGCTTCGTGTGTGGAAGAAATGAAATGGGGGGTTGGAAGACTTTGACTTGTCCCTCCCCCGCGGTCATTGTAGTGTGCATGGAAACGGGGACCCAGTTTCTAGTTGTGGTTGTGGATTTTGACATATGATTGAACCAAATAATACTCTGACTTTAACCTTGTAAGGCTCGTAAAACCAAAGCTTGTTAAATATGAGAGGAAGCAAAGGGTATGTTATGTAGCTGCTATAAAATCTTTTGCTGACTACAAAATCTGATGTTTATAGATATGGTTTGGTCTTGATGGAGATAATGAGTGGAAGGAGGGACTTCGAAATCTCAAGAAAAAGGAGTTCTCAAATTGGGCTTATAAAGAGTTCCATAAAGGTAATATCATGGACATTGTAAACGAAAGAATGTATTAAGTTAATTTGGATGAATCGAAAAGGTTGATTCAACAAGCTTTTGGTGCATTCAGGAGCAACCATCTCAGAAGCCCGCAATAAGCAAAGTGTTGCACATGCTAAAAGGTGTTACAAAGATTAAGAAGCCACCACCAGCACCCAATTTCGTGAATAAAGGACCATTCAGTGTAAATGGAGAACGCTTGAGAAGTTGTCAGTGTTCTCTCCACTGTCTCAAGTCTAAACCCCAGCATCAACTTGCTCTTCCTCTTTATTACATCATTAGATTCATTACAAACCCCTCTTGCATTAGTGAGGATACTTCATCCTTTATGTTGTCGAGAACACACAGAAGCTACTCTTATTGAAATTATATGAACTAAAATTAAACTCTATTTGTGACTATTGGTTCAACTGTCAATGATTTCATTGCCTTCTCACTTAACATACATTTGTCATCACTTTTTTGCTGGCACAGATATATTTGGTGGAATTAATGATGTCCAATATAAATTCTGACTATTTCTTTTTGAAAATATAAAATTCAATTCAATAAATTCCTTAAATAATCTTAACGGTGTTTTGGGGGAAATTTTTTAAGTAGTTACAAGATCATAACGTCTAATAGAAATTTACCCTATCGATAAAATATTAGCGGATGTTAATTTAAAAATATTTTATGCTAATAAATTTTTTCTTTGTGTAAATTAGAATCAGAAAATTTTTATTCAGCTGAAGTGCTTTTAGCTAGTATTATTTAACTAAATTATTTTTAGTTTTTATTTATAACTTTTTTAACTTCTCATCTATTTTAATTTTCATTGTTATGTTATTTTTAAATTAAATTTTAACTAATATTTTAGTATATATAATCCATATAATAAATCCACCATACATTGACACTCAACTTAGAAAGATTGGTCCAATCAAACGAGTTTGCATTGTATATAACATCATATTTTTTGAAAATTAAAATAAAATAAATTGTTCTAATAATATTTATAATATAGTTTAATTAATTTATTTATTTGAGCTTATAGTATAAATAAATGATGTTTCTTACTAAATAAAACAAAATATATATAAGTTATGGGTTTGAGAAGAGCCTTTGATTTGGACTGTTTATTCTAACCCAAAATCTTATTAAAAAGATAGATAGGTAGTTGGGTCATTGATGAGTCATTATTTTCCCTTATTTATTTATCTTTTTGTACTTATTTTAATTGATGATTTGGGCTTAACTGCTTATTAATTGCACAGTTTTACTGTTTGGGCTTCATTGGGCCAATAATTCGAATTTTAATTAATTTCAATTCACTTGGTCTAATTTTCTTCCATTAATTATTTTCAGGTTAATCGTGAAGCATTTTTGGGCTTCGATATTTCAGACTTCAAGAGACAAGGTGCCACGTCAGCACCACATCAGCGTCACATCAACATTTTGTTTTATTTTTTATTTATTTTATTGTATTTTCGGGTCAGACTTGGATTGGGGGCCCATTTGACTTTTCTAGGGTTTTAGGGACCTAAGGTAGGCTGACCATGCAGCCACCACCTTCAGAACTGATGTGACCACGTTTTATGTTTTTAGCTCTTCTTCTTCCTTTAGGTTTTTCTCTGTTTTTGCTTTTTTCCTTCTCACGTTTTGCTTCTTTGCTTGTATTTGAGATTGCGTTTTACATTTGAATGAATACAGGTTCTTCGCTTCCTTCTCTTCTACCTTGTTTTTTTTCTGCATTTTCATTTTAATGGAAGGCTAAACCTTGGGGTTGGCTCCTTGAGTAGATTGCAATCTCTATTTGAGGTTCTGTTCATATTGTTCACCTCTCTTCCACTTGATTCTTCTTCATTAAATTTTTGTATTAATGTTGTCAACATCCGTTTATGCTTAATGAATCCGGGTTGGTTGCGTTAGTGCCACAGTTTGCTTCATCTTATGAAGAGGTTTAATGTTGTATATGTTTGCTTAATTCATGTAGGGAAGTCTTGAGTTAATCTTCACTTAGTTGGTTAACTTGGATGGAACAGAGATTTTGTTGACAGAGAACTCTTTTGAGAACCAGGGATAAGAGAGAGTTGCAATCTTAACAAGGAGTCAATCTGCTTTGCTTACTGTTCTAATTTGTGTTTTATTGCGTTTTGAAGTTTGATAAATTTGAACCAAACCCCCATTACGTGTTTGTGTTTGAACCTTTGACAGAAAAGATTGGTCCTTGGGAGACCACCTAGGAAAGCTTCCTAGCACTATATTTACTTGTTTTTATTTGACCGGGTTTTATTTACTCATGTAATATTTAAAAACATTTCCAATAATATTTATGACCAACAAAATAGATTTTCATGATTCTTAAGATTAATGACTCTCATGAATCATGATTATCAAGGATGAAACTCAAATATTCTCGATGTCAAATTCCCAATAAAGTAAAAAATTTCTTTGTACCAAATGCCCTTATGAGTACTTGCAAAGGATAACTCTAAGGAGCGTTTCACTAGCCTCAAAAGTCAAAACGACAGAGATTGAGTCTATGCATTGGAGATTGCCATCTAAGGCAAGAAGGGGTGTGAAATTGTCTCACTATGTGGGGGCATATGAGGATTATGGGTAGTGAAGCGACCCCTAAGCCTTTGTAGGATTATTAAATGTTTGTTTCATAAGATTGACATTGCTTTGGTTTGATTACTATTGTATAAGTGCAGATGTTATCACACTTCATTTTTCATAAAAATATAATATAAGTATTTAAAATATATTTCTGGTATTTTTGTTTTAATTAATGGAGTTTTTAATATTTATTTTACTTGTTTGAAATATTTTGGGATATAATATAAGGTCTTTTAATTAAAGGTTTTAATTAAATGCTTTATTTAATTAAATAAGAGGGAGGGGATTTGTAACTATGGTTAATATGTTTTAACTAGAATGGTTATAGAGGAATTAATATTTTAAAAGTTTTGAACAATTTTCCTTTTACACTCCTTCATTTATCGTTTTTCATAAACACACTTCATTTTACGTTCAAAGCTCAAAGAACAGGAACAAGAAGGAAACCACCCCGAGACTATGCATCCATCTTCTTCTACTTACCAAGGTAAGGAAATAGTGAGAAATCTCCCTCTAGGTATGAGATTGTATGCTGGGTAGTAGGATTTGCCTTTAATCTCCTCTCTATTGTATGTCTAATTATGAGGTGTTTTTCCCAAATATGTCTATCTTATTTGTTTCTCCTTGTATGTTCTATTTAATGTAAATTGTATATGTTGGTAATTTTTGAAAACAGGCTTGAAATTGTATGTTTTGGTGTTCTTGTGGGTTCTTATGAGAACCCTAAATGATATTGTGTGAGTAGTTAATAAGAGTATGTAATTAGAATGTGAAATTGATGTTGGATTAGAGTAATTAATAGTATAATATGATAATATTAAGCTTTAATCATGATTTTATCGATTGGTTTGGAGATTTTGGGTTTTGGGTTAATCATGTGCGATTTTTGCACTTCACTGGAGTGAATTTCACCCCAAGGCAGTAACTGGAACACCCATGCACTTCATTGCACGCCCGTACGATCGATGTTGAGAAGTCTCATGCTGAATTAATTGCAACTGGCACAGGCATGTATCCACTTGCACACTCCTGCAAGCATCTCAAATAATCGAATTAGCCTTTGATTTCTTCATAAGAGTTGTAGCCTTATATGTTAGCTTTCAAATTCCATTAGAAGCACCTAGAAAGGAGGTCTATAACTCGAGTTATGATTAAATTAGTGAGCAAAGGTTAGGTTGTCATATATTAAGTTGAAATGCTACGAATGTGGTCTAAGTTGTATATTGTATGGTGTACTCTATTTTCATTTTGTGTATACTCTATTTCATATAGGCATACTCTGTTTTCTCCCTCTACTAGTCCTCTGTTCAGGCGCTAAAAATCTGGTCTACGTTGCTGAATTGTTGCATTTCATCTGTCGGTGATTAGTGCTGAATAGTACTTGAATTTTCCAATTAATTGAGATTTTTGGCTTTGGTACCTAGACTTGTTATTTTTGCTTCAAATTTTATGTTCTCACTTCTTTCAACCTATATTTTGCGTAAAAAAATCCCAGAGGCACTTATAGTGCTCCTGATTTGAAGATACAAAAACTTTTTAAACCCGTTTTTAGCAAAACTTCAAACTGCCATAACTTTTGCTCTGGTTATCAGAATTCGACATATTATATATGCTTTTGGGGTAGAAAAATGAGATCTATCAAAGGTTATATTTTCAAGAAAAAAGGTCGTTTACTATTTTTTTTTCTAATTTTGAAGTTTTATTTCCCTATTTTTTCAAAATTTTCATAGGTTTTTCATATAGTTAGACTTAGAATTTTGCTTTGAAAATTTTTGTGGTAGTTTTTAATGATTTTAGGATGATATTGGTGCATTAGTTTTGATGGTTTCTAATTTTTCATGGAAATTCCCATTTTACCCCTATTGTTCACGTATCTTGATGCATGTGTTGCATGTAGTGCATGACTAGGAGAAATCCAGGCTTTTTGCATCCATTTGATCCTGAGATTGATATTACATTCCATAGACTAGTTAGAGAGAATATAATTCCACCTTTACATAGTGATAGTGTGAGTGTTGCATCAGAAATTGATTCAGTTCAAATAGAAAACATGGGTGAGCAATCTTATAATGGACCCTATGAGAGGACTCTTAGGGAGATGGTTGCACTTGATTTCACATATGAGAGTCTGTTCATTCAATATCCTGAGGAGGATGTCCCTTTTGTGCTTAAAACTGGACTAATCCATTTGTTGCCCAAGTTTCATGGTCATGCACATGATCATGCAGGTGAGGATCCACATAAACATCTGAAGGAGTTCCATATTGTTTGT